GGGCGGCCCGGCCCGGTGCGGTGGGGGCGGCTCCTGACCCCCGCGGGCTGGCGCACCGCGTCCTTCCTTCCCGATGAGGTGCCACCGCATTGGTGGAGCTCCGTGATCCCGGCGGGTTTGGTCGCTTTGTCGAATCCAGCGGTTACTGTTGGGGCAGTTGAGTTGTAACTTGGGGCTGGTCGCGGCTGAGAAGATGTTTGCGGCCGAAACGCAGCTCTGCAGCTCAGGGGAAAGCGTGCCTTCAAACAGCGCTTGATTCGCTTAGAAGAAAAACAATCGATAGATCGTGATTTCAGGACAGTGGCATTATTGTAGAGTCCAGGAAAGCAGCCCTGACTCTCTTGTCTAGTTCTACTTTCACATATAGATTAAGCAGAAACAACAACAACGAATCAGAACGATTTTGTCTTGCGTCTTTGGCACAAAAGTCTTTAAGCTTAATAGCAAAGGAAGACCATGTGTATTTGGAACAAGAAGTATTGCAACTCGAAGCAAGCCTGTGTCTGACGTGTTTTACTAATGATTAAACAGGCAGAAGAGAAAACGAATATTTACTGTTCAGACTTCTGTTTGAATGCTAGGGATTCTGACTATGAAGGGAACAGGATGGCAAGTCGAAAGTTCATTTTTATAACATTTTCAAACTAGTCGTAAAAATAAATCTTCTAATAAATATTTCACAATGCTGTTTTCTCCTGTTTTCATCACATTTTTTGTTCCATATATTTTCCCCACTGCATACTTTGACAGTTTTCTCTTTTATGAACAGTGGGAAGTTAGAAGCTGTCCTATTCACGCAAAAGTTCTGTGGTTCATGTAGCCCAGTTTGCCGTCCCTGGCTCTGAACAGTGCCAGGGATTTCTGGAACAGGGAAAAAAAATAAGAGAAAACAGAAAGATCTTAATAATGTAGCTTGTACCAATCAATAATTATAACGGAAAGTTGTCTCTCCATTAGCCTTAGTGCAGCTGCGTTCGGTCTAACATCCGGTGACGGACACATTTTGGATAAGATGGAAAAAAAACCAGGCAAACATTTGCTATCCATTTGCTTTCTTTTGTTGGTTGCATAAAGCTTACGTCACTGATGAGATTTCAGGATACTAGACACTGGAATTATGAAGCTGATGGCAGTGTAACAGCTGTACAAACAGCGTGATGCCACTTTCTACGGTAGGATCAAGTCCTTTTTATTCAGTTTATTGTGTCTCCTGAGTTTCTAGGATAGAGCACTAGTAGGCTACAACTGTTTTCCACAACTGAGGTGTTAGGTAAGCAGCTCTAAGCTATAACTAGCCCACTTAGGGCATCTGCACTACAAAACAGCTCTAAGGAACCACTGAATCTCATTCTCTCCCCCATTTTTTTTCAGTAGCATTACTTCCAAACAGGTGCTTGAGAGGTAATCACTGCACAGTGTCTGTACAACACCTACTGACATTGTAAGGCTATTGAATTCTGTAAAGCTTCAGTGATAACAAAATACACAGAGTTCACCACGGGTTAAATATTGGTTTGGCAGGGTCAGAAGTGGGCTGGAATTTCCTGTAATCAAACTGGCAGCAGCAGCAGCACGCAGGATATTTTTCTTTTTTTTTTTTTTTTTTAAATGAAGGTTTTATCATAATCTTTGTGGGGAAAAATAACAGTTGAATAAATACACTACTAATTTTGTGTACGGGAATTTAAACACTTGCACTAAAAATATGGAGCATCCATTGAGTTATATGTTTTATTTAAACACAAAAGTCATAGGAAATTAGCTTAGGAGAAGGCTGGACTGCTGTAATGGAGGGGAAAATACCTGTTTCCATTACCCCACTGTGCTGAAAACATGAGGTAGGCAGTTTTGTATCTTCTGGTATAATGTCCTTAAGAACATTGCATGCACTTGGAATTTTCTTATCCTTTATTTAATGAAAATCTGTGTCAGAATGAGAATGATGTAGCTAAAGGTCAAAACAAATTTGTTTAAAGTCAGCTGTGAATGAGGCCTCATTTACACCACAGAGCCTCTGCCCCAAAGCTATGTCAGCATGCTTCCACTGGTAGAAAACTCCAATGTAAACAAAATCAGCAGGTGAACTTCACAGTTTCACTATTTTGTTGTCCCTCCTTTTGTCTCAGAACAAATGGACTTTTTGCATCCTTAGTCTGCTTTCATGTAATGACAGATACAACCATTTACACAAGTTAATTAAAATGACATTGCTAGCAACAGTTGGTGATAAATAAATTACCAAAATGTTTTCCTGGGTGTGTTTTCCAGTGTGGCTAGTGCCCAGAAGGGCTCTCATGAGAGACTTCTTGCCCTGTCGGCTCACTGAGCGCTTTGCCAGTCTCCCTGCAGATGATACGTTAGTGGTGGGCTAGTAAACAGAGAAAAGATTGAGGAGCCGTGCAGTTGCAGCAATTTCCAATTAATTCCTCCTCTTAACTGCTGTGAGAAGGGTACCTAACAACCAGAGAACCCAAATTCAGCTCTTGAAATAGTTGTTAGCAACCCTTGAGTTGTACTTCAGGCGTACCTTAAGGTTTGTGAAAGTGGAAAACTGTAGGAGATAAAAGCAGGCTTGATATTTTTTTTTTTTTTTCCCAAGAGTTTCTGGAAGGTCCAGAAAGCAAGATAAGCTTTCTCTGAGCACCAGTACAGGTTAAGGGTTGACCTGCTGGAAAGCAGCTCCACAAAGAGCCTGGGAGTCCTGGCAGATAGACAACCATGAAACAGTGGTGTGCTCTCGTAGCCAAGAAGGCCAGTGGTATTCTGGGGTGCAATAAGAAGAGTGTGAAGGTCATGGGAAGTTCTCTTCCCTCTCTGCTCTGCTCTAGTGAGGCCACATCTGGAGTTCTGTATCCCGCTCTGGACTCCCCAGTTCAAGGGAAACAAGGAACAACTGGAGTGACTCCAGTAGAGGGCTACAAAGATTACGGGGGGACTGGAACATCTCTTACAAGGAAAGGCTGAGAGATCTGGGTCTGTCTCTGTCTCAGAAGACTGAGAGACGACCTTATCAATGCTTACAAATGGCTAAAGGGCAAGTGTCAAGTCTCTTTTCAGTGGTGCCCAGTGATAGGACAAGGGGAAATGGACCCAAAGCAGAACACAGAAAGTTCTTAAACACAAGGACAAACTTCTTCACTGTGAGGGTGACAGAGCACTCGAACAAGCTGCTTAGAGAGATTGTGAAGTCTGCTGTGGAGACTTTCAGAGTCCTCCTCGATGCATTCCTGGGTAACCTGCTCTAGGTAAACTTGCTTTGGCAGGGGGTTTGGACTAGGTCATCTCCAGAGGTCCCTCCCAACTTCTAACATTCTGTGAGCATTTTCCTTGAAGATCAGTCATTGGACTGAACCTTACAGAGTTCTTTCCATTCTCCAATAAGACCACCATGTAGATCCATATGTACGTAAGAATTAATTTTTGAATTTATTTTCAAATGCCAGACCACTGCCTGTTCATACGCTTACTAGTGAGGAAGGGCACAAGCTGACTTCTCTTTGTATTTCTAAGCAACTTGATGGTTCACATTGTGCTTCAGGATTTTGGAAACAGGCTGTAGTTTGTCTACCTCAGGCTCAGGAAATCTTACCTATTGCCTTACCAGAAAGATTAGTCTTACCAGAATGGAATCAAATATATCAGTTTGGAATTAGAAGTTTATCCCACATCAAATATATTTAAGATGCTGTAACAGAAAGGTTTCTTTAGGTCTTTACCCACTGTTACTTCAGTGGGTATTTCAGTTATGTTTCCTGTCACTTGGTAGAGACCTTTAAGCAATGTCTTTAGGATGGTACAGTTTTAGTTACATCTATCACCTGAAAGTTATTCTTGCTTCAGGTTCTGGGCATCGCTAGCTGCTCTTTCTAACAAAACTTCGAAGATTTTTCTTTCCTGTTAGTGCACAGACACTGGGAGGCTGTTCTCATTCTTGCCCGCTGGCATGTCTCATAGAGGTGCTCTGGGTTTGAAGCATTGCATGCTCATAACCAGTACCAAATTGACTACATTTGCTTGAATTGATCTTCTGTGTAGCCTAGTGATGGACACGCACGTGCGCCCTAGCCGGGGTGTGCCGCGGGTGTCACGACCCTCACGTGGCTGTGCTAGTCTGGGAGGTTAAGCTGTGCAAAGGCTGACAAAAGAAGGGCAGGTGTAGTGTAGAAGTGTGGTGCTCTTCCAGTTAACGTGTCAGCCGTACTCTCTCACCCTGCCAGCTGGGCTTTATCAAGTTATGCTCATCCATTTTTCTCTTAATCACAAGAGATGTCCAAAAATGGAACTAATGAGGCAGTCTAGTTTAGTTTGATGTTCCTGTAGCATTTTGTGGTCTACAAAAAGCATCACAACAGACATCTTTCATTTTTAATGTCATTTCTCAGCTCACTTATTTGTTAACCATTTGTGTAAAAGTCAGTAAAATTACAATAACAAGATATGTGAAAATTAAGTAGTGACATGTAAGGGGATTGATCTGAAATATAAAAGCTGGCTAGGATTGTGTTTTATCTCAGTAAAATGTGAATGTATTTGTGGGTTGTCTGCCTTGATATTTCTCAGGATATCATTCTCACCTTTTCTATCTCTGAAAAATAGAGCAACATTTATGTTAATTACATGTGACAGGTAGCCTGATTTTATAAGACACATTTTTGGTCTCACCTAAGTTAAACAGCATGAGAATATTTACACTTAGATTGCTGAAAGAGTTAATATAAAAGGCTTCACATTTTTTTTTTTCCACTTGTTGATCACATATCTCACTTTGTAAAATCTATAGCTAAAAGAAGGAAATCTTGTCCTGAATATGACATTTAAATTATGCTTCAGGTCTGGCATTGCTCAGAGGTTTTTTTTTCTGACTCAGGTTTTTTTTGGTCAGAAACAGCTACCTCACATATAGAAAACAAAATCCTATGATTTCTTGCCCACATTTTCCAACGTGAGAGTAAAAAGCAACTCCTGACTAAGAAGTTAATTCCAGTTTTTAGTTACAGTCTCGTATTTGTTCAGTGCTTACAATGATTTTCATCTGCTAAAAATTAAGTAAATAACAACAGAGATCCTTTTTTTTCTACCAAGTCTTATCTCAGCAGTATGCCTCTCAGTTCCTGGTGAGGAAACGTCGAGCAAATTCTTTTATGGAAGAAAGTAAGAAGGGCAATCTAGAAAGAGAATGCATTGAAGAATTATGCAATAAGGAAGAAGCCAGGGAAATCTTTGAAAATAATCCTGAAACTGTAAGTATCTGATGAATATCTACAAGGTAGAGAGTAGTTCTTTGCAGAGGGAAAGCTAGAAGGACATAGAATTCACACTGCAAAGCTAAAAGAACTCCACCATGTAGACCAAGAACTGGTTTGAAATTCTTTTGTGTATAGGACTTACACAACTGATAATGAAGACTGTATAAGCAAAGAGAATAGTTGAATAGATATTAATTTCCAGTATGGATCACCAGTTTCAGACCACAGCTGTCTTCAAGCATTCCATGTGGGGAAACTCTGTTGGTTTCAATTAAAACTTTACACAGAGGATGAACGGTAGTGCCGTGCTTTTAATGAAAGGATTGGACATTTTACTGCAAGCTTTCTTCCTAGTGGGGAGAGTTCTGTTCCTCAGTTCATTCCTACTGCATGTTGTTTAGTATTAGGTATGTTTTATTCTGCTTTGTCCTATAAAGGGTTCATTACAAAATACACATGGTTAAAATGTATACTTGTTTTGCAAACTATGTCAGTGCCTTGTTCTGTCTTTGATAACATTGCATGTATTTGGATATAACGATTGTTAAGTTTAAGTAGTTTGACTAATCAACAATCATTTGTTTTTAACAATACCTATTTTAGTAGCACTTTTCCCTTTATTTGGAATTAATTGCATATGAGATGTTCAACCTATTCCTGGGTATTTTTGTTTATTTTAGGGTGAAATAAAAGAGGCTGCTCTGCATCCAATAACAACATTGAGCAAGATCCTTCCATATAAAGAGACAATTTTCAAAGCCATTTTGACACCCAATTAATTTTCATTGCCTTCACTTTGAAAATGTCCAATTGAGTGCAGTATCTTAATCTCTCTGCTGAGTCTCATGTTTATTAAATAAATAACCTGCTGTCTTGGCCTGAAAAACAGTGATATAGAAAACTTAGTCTGCATTCTACAAGTCAAAGTGACTTTCCTTTTTGTTTCTTTTGTAGTTATAATACCAATATATTGTAGAATGTATTCAGTGATATATTTTGCTGTAATTCTATCTACCTTAATTTTTTCTTACTCTTTGTTTTTCTTTTCTTTCTGCAGGAGTATTTTTATCCTAAATATTTAAGTAAGTACAAAAAAAACTGAACAACTCTACTACGTCAGTCACTGGTCTTGAATGATTTCCATGCTGATTATAATGCATAGTTGCTCCTAGGCAGTTCTGTGTTCTTAGATCTTAGCAGAGGCACTCAGAAGGTTGGGCTGTGATCAGCTGTCTTTAATATGCCCAGGCAAGTTTTCTGATTCAAGCTGTGAGAACAGACTCTTTGAAGATGCCATGCATAAGCTGTTGTAATTTCAGTCTAAATGAGTGTTTGTACTGTAAGCAGATTGTGTGGGTTTGCATTTGCAGGCTGCCTCGCCTCCCATCGCGCGGGGGTTTTCAGAGTTACTGCAGTTACTCCAGATTCTCCAGCTGACCTGAGGGCTTGTGTCAATGGTAAGTGCTAGATACTTAAACTAATGCCCTCAGATCTGAGAGCGTGCACATGCATGTCTAGAAAGCAATTCATATAAGTAGAAGAAGAAACAAATCTCCATTTAAGTCAGGCAAACTCAATAATCGAAAAGAGAAGCTGACAAAAAAAAATTAGGTGAGACAGAGTGTGCTGGAAAAGAAACGTGATTAACTGCAAAATGGAAGGCAAAGTTCTTCCAGAAAGAGAGAATGGTCCTACACCAACCCAGTCATGTTCCCTCGTGTGTCCTCTGTATTCTACCTCATCTTTGATTGTTATGCATGACTCTTTGCATCTAGCAACTCCTATTCTGGCAGTTAAAGCAAGAGATGATCTGGTTAATTCTCCTTTCTAACACTCTTTGGCCCATAGCTGCACTGTAGGCCTTCATGAGGTAGATAACATCACCAGCTGAAAAATTCAAATATTAAGCTGGAAGAGTGAATTGTGTTTTTTCTAGTAAATTCACAGGAAGCAATCTGTACCATATTCCCTACTTGTCACAGCTGAAACATCTCCCCAAACCTCTTAAACCTTTACAGCCCAGTTACATCAAAGAAGCTTTCAGTTGGTTTGAATAGGGATACTTAACCATCCAAGACTGGTTTTGTCACTGAAAGCAGTGGAAAGCATGAAGATCCTTAATAATTACACTGCACATGGTCATGGGTGAACATATTTTCCAGGTCACTTGGCCAGCGTGACTGCTGTCACAAACTGAACTATACTCCTATTTACATCACTCTTTCTCACTCTCATTAGAGGTCCTGGGAGGAAAGGATTTAGCAGAGATGTGTGAATGTGCAGTGTTTCTGTAGTACCCGGTGAAAACAACCACTTGATAGTCATTGTATTTCTTCATTTAGATTCACATTATACAATCAAAGTAAATAAACTGTTACTATTGGTAATTCACCAGGGTAAAGCAGAAGTAAAGCGAGTATGCATAAAACTTTCAAGTGTTTCTAAAGCCTAAATGTTTAACAAAAATTTATGCACACTTTTGGAAGTGAGCTACTGCTGAGAAACTGGAATTTAAAATTTCCAATAAAAACATCTAACATTTTTTTAAAAAATGTTTTCACTGAGACAAAGATTTTGTGGTACTGATATAAACATTTTTTCAAACTTAAAAGTTGCATCTTTATGAATTTATCAATCCAAATTGTTTTGATATTGCCAAAATGAAAAATCCAATTTTCTTAATGAGAAATAATTAAGTAATTATAAGAATTAGTTCATAATAGTACAGTAACCAGTTTGAATATAAAGCTGAAAAAATCAAGGAATAAAAATAACGATGCAAACAGAATGGAAAAATAATTTCATTGTTTTCAGATTTGTCCAAATTACCTATTTGAGAACACAAATGAGCTAAGAGATTTATGGATAAACATTTATAAAAATTTGTGAAGGCATTGACTTTTTAATGCCCGTCTAGGAAGAAACGGAAAATTTCACAGATCTTTTTTCTTACTTTTCTAATCGAAGCAGGTATCTGAGATGCAGCTTTGAGTCCCTAAACATTTGTGTCACATAAATCTGCATACTGAACTGCTTTTGAAAATAAACACTCAAAAATCCCTACAGTTACATCTGTCCAGCTCACTATGACACATCTCATGGATATCAGAGCCTCTGAGTAGCAAAGGGTATAGGTACCACAGCACATTTCTGGCCAGCTACCCTTCCCATTGCAGGCTGAGTGTATCTTCTGACACAGAGTTGTCACAAACATTTTTCAAAAAGCACTGCTAGGTGGTGGGTAAGAAGGCACCCTGAATGGGGAAAAGAGGAACACCAAGGTCACTTTTGGGACAAAGGGCTGCTACTTCACTGTTCCCATAATAGCATCTTAACCATCCATATGCAGACAGAACCTCTGTGTCCATCCAACCCTATCCATCTGGTCTTGTTTTCTTCCTCTAGCATATTTCACTGGTTCTCCTTTATTCATTCATTCATTTCTTCAGTGTTATTGCCCTTTGTATCCTTAGTTCACCTCATTCCATCTACTTATGTTTCACACTGCCAACCAAATCCATCTTCTCTCAGTCCAGACTCTCAAAAGCCATCACTTCCTTTTGGTCAAAAACATTAACAGTCAAGTTTCTTCTCCAGCTGCACACTCTCAAGGTGCCATCCATCACTTATGAAATGCTTTGCTCATACCAAATTTGGTTGACACACTTGTTCATGGACCTACAAAAGCAGTAAACAATTGAAAAAGAGGAAAAAAAAATGTAGGGAGTTCTAGAACTTAAGTTTGGAAATTACTGTGAAGGTTTGATATTTAAACTCCATTCCTTTTATTTCTTCTGTACAATTACTTCTCTCAGTCTTGATCTGCAACTGGAGTCCCTTGGTCTGCATTGTGAATATTACGTGACGTCAGCACCTATTCTAGAGGTGCTCTGTGGTTTTGGAGCTTGGCTGGCCTCCGGGCTTTTGGATTTACTTGCAGAAGAATTTAATTAGAAGTAGATTTAATTGGAAAATAAACTAACACAGATTTTGTTGAGCTTTCTGAGTCATAGAAGGCTAAACTTATAATTCTGTGGGGCTCAGTTCTTTAGTTCTTTTGAGTAAAGTAAGAAAAGTTTAAGAAATGTGGTGGGCCCTTACATAAAGAATTGTAGCAAGTTTCGGTCTTCAGGAACACTTGCCTTTCATTCCACTCTTTTGAATCTCTCTAAATCCTTTCTTCATTTCATTTTATCTGGTTTTTAGGACACTACTTTTTTAAAAAGCATACTTCAAAATGTCTTTCCAGAGCTTTACGAGAATATAACTTTAAAGTAGGAACAACATACTTGTAATATTGGGAGGCCTGCAAGAAAAAAAAAAAAAAAGGTCAAAAAAGCTACCAGCATATTCAGGAGACACAAACAGAATGATGCCTCCTGTGGTATGCTGATGTGCAATTATGAAAATGATGGGAAAAGTTAAAAGAACAGTATGCATTTTGATTAGAGAAAAAAAGGCAAGGTATTCTGTGTTTTCTGCCCTAATCTATGTATTTTGAGCCTTGCTTTCTGGGACCTTGCTAGCACATATAAGGAGTCTTCAGTCACTCTGTATGATGCAGATTTGCAAATACTAATTTCAGTGACAAATGAAAGATGACAGTATTAGACACTGATGTATCCAGTCCACCCCCAGGACTTGGGCAGCCAAGGAAACCTGAAGCGTTAGTTTCTCTGTAAATGTGACCCTTCTTGATCTGAGAAACTGAGCTCTGCAATCTTGAATTACTGGTATTCTTAAAAGTTTGGTATTTCTAGTGAAATTTGTGGTAGTATGGTGAGGGAGAGCACTGTTCTTTAAAAAGTGAAATACACCCCTAAACTGTAATGGAAATAGTGTCAGGTTTCCATTTGGTCACACCTTGTAGGGTTTAACATGGCTTCGTGAGTCATTTGTTTATTAGTTTTCTGTCTCACAAAGAAGAAGTACCAGCAGCTTTGTCTTTTCTCAGTCACTTGCACATTCTTGCTGGCAGAATTAGTAGCAAGGTGGTTGTATGGGTATTTGGTGTTATGCATCAAGCCCTTTCCTATTTCATTAAAGGTACCTGGGGGAAGACAAGAAGAAACACTAAACAGATCCTTGGGGAAAAATCACCCCAAATAACAAGTGTTTTTCCAATGTTTTGCATCCTTCAGAAATCTCAAACCAGTGTAGCCCTCTGCCATGCCATAAAGATGGATATAAGGATTGTATAGATGGACAAGCCAAATACACTTGTGTCTGTAAACCAGGATGGCAAGGAGAGAAATGTGAACAAGGTACAGTCTCTAATCTCATCATCTTAATTCTCAGGAACACAGTTTTAGTTCTGCTGTTATTGAATAGTATCAGATATTTAGGTATACCTGCTTCCATGCAGTTGGTCAATGAATGCCTTTCAGCAGAGATTTTCTTTTTGTTTTCCTTCTAGATATAAATGAATGTGAAGACTCAAATGGAGGCTGTAGCCAACGCTGTTCTAATTTACCTGGGAGCTACCGTTGTTTGTGTGAAGATGGCTACTTCATGCACTCAAATAAACGGGATTGCGGAGGTAAGAAGTGAGGCTTCAGGAGAACATTACATGACAGTATGTTGCCTGTTGAGCAGGGAGGGGCATGAATTTAGTCCAGTAGCTCTGTAAATGCTACAAGTCAGCAGAAACTTGCATTGCCTCTGAAAAATGTAGTCCTGCTTCAACTTGGCTACTCATTCCACCTCCAGGCTTACACCACTGCAAGCATTTGGGCAACCATATAGTGAACTAGATCAAGACATTGAGGGTTGAAACCAATTCATGGGGGAAAAAAAAAAAAAGAAAAAAAAAAAAAGAGAAAGGTGATGGATTCTGCTTCATTACTAGAGCTCCATAACACTTATTTTGGTCACTAACCAGTTTCACATACCCTTTGAGCATGTTAAAAAAAAAAAATTTGTAATAAAAAATAAAAATACAGTAATATACCTTAGTACCTAAAGTACTAGTTTGGTCATTTGATAAACTGGATTCATTACTTTGTTTCATTACACCTAACTACAAAATTCTAGGAATTTGGAGTACACACAGTAGCTAACAGAAAAGTAGGCCATATTCAGGACAGCTTTGACTTAAAATGCTGTGGGAGTCCTAGCAAGCCAAGTGGCAGAATTCCCTCTGTACAGTACCACTTCTGCAACTACTACAAAACAACAGAGAAAACTGGAAGGATCCCTGCACATTCAAGTGGGAATTGAAGTACTGCCAGGATTCTGATATTTTCCTGTCTACAAGACATTTAGTAAGATTGATACTATACACTGCATTTAGTTGTCACATCTGCATTTTGAAAATGACATTGAAAAATTGGAAAGAACACTGGAGATAGACACTAAAGCGGTTTGAGGGATGGAGAGACAGTGAGGGACTTGAAAACCTGACAACATAGCCAATTAAAAGATGATTGTGACATGGATCGACTGTAGCACGTAAGAAATTCTGAAGATTATCTCCTGCCTTTCTGGATGGCTTTTTCCAAGTTAATATTTTATTATACAGTCCAGTATAGTTTATAGGAAACCTGCATACTGTTTTTCTCTCTGCCTTCCTGGACTTGCATCCTTTTTCCTGTTATCCAAAGAATACATGAGAGACCGAGAAAGGCAGGAAGGCAGAGAATTTGTTTTTCACTGAGGGCAGGCAAAAGTGACTTTCAGAGACCTCTGGAAATCTTTACAGCTATAGCTATAGTCTGCTCTGAAAGCATGGTAGACCTACCAAGAGAGAGCCAGTTTGCCAGCCTCACTCAGTTTGCACAGATTTGAATGTACTCATTCTAGTAACTTGTTTATATTTCTAGATATAAATGAATGTGTGTTATACCCAAACATCTGTGGGACAGCCACATGTAAAAATACCCTGGGAAAATACGAATGTGAATGTGCAGAAGGTTACACATATAATTCAACTTCCAAGAACTGTGAAGGTAAGTCTTCCCCCGCTATGCATTTTCTCTTATCTTGCTTTTTTGTTTGTTGGTTTGGGTCTTTTTTTGTGTGGTTCTGTTTTTGGTGTAATATTTCTGGTGTTGGCTTTGTTGTTTTTTTTTGTTTTTTTTTTTTATACCAAACACCAGCATACCAGCATCTCATCTAGTGGTGTATTTATTAATCTTCACGTTATTTATTACAAAATAACTCATTTATTTGTTCTTTCAGAGGTTCAGTCAGGCTATATTAGGGTATACAGTTGCAGTGACCTACTCCTAGGTGTTGGTGAGTTTTATCTGTAAGCCAGATAACTTTCTCACTTTATGGGAGCTCTCTTCTCCCACTAGACAGGACTTGCTGTCCAAGCTCTCAAACCAGGTAGCATGTTTCATTTAGGTAAGTTGGAGCAGTGTGCTGAGGATCTGGATGTTGGTACAGTGTCTTGTACCTTGTTCTTAAGCATCATTACAGTTACAAGGATGGAATATTTGGTGCCAGTCAGTTTAATGTATATCCTTAACTCAGGGCAAGCTGTAGTAAAAGCAATTAGAAGTACTTATTTGTTAATTCCAGACTGGGCAAGACAGGAAGACTTATAAAGAGATAATCGCCAGAAATGAAAACTGTGAACACTTAATTGAGTTGTCCCAGAAATGTAAAAACCTTGTCTTTATCTATCTGATAGGCTGTATAGATGTTTATTTAGCCCTCATGGCCAGGAGCATAGTCTGTGTCCTTTATATATCCTTAGATCTCAGATACTGGAAAGAGCTTTTCACTGTGGCCTTTGAATTCATTCCATACCATTTATCTAATCCTTCCCTGGGGTACTTAGTTATGCTAGAACATAACAGTGTTAGAGTGAACTGATCTCCATCCTAGTCTGGAAGCAACAGCATGGCAGATGTATAGATTTTTGTATAAGGATTTAAGATAAAAGGACTCTTAAGATACTCTTTAAGATAAAAATACTCTTGAATATCGAGAAAAAGAACTATGTAAAAAGGAGCTGCACCAAAAGAATCTTTCCTCAGGAGTATTATTTTCAAAAATGAAAAATCTGGAAGAAAATTTCAAAACAAAGCTCTGTAACATTTACAACAAAGTTTAAAAGTACTGACAGCTAGCAGTAAAGCAACAAGAAGCCATTCATGCACAGACCATCATAAAATAACTTTTTCAAATACTGAAAGTATTTGCATAATTGTTCTAAAACATATTTTCTCTCTTTTTAAAGTTTAGTACACACATAAGAAATTAAATTTCAGTTGTAGAAAATTCCTCTTCATTGTAAAACTGTAAGAGCTTATATACCTCTTCTACATTTCCAGTTTAAAAAAAATACACTAGTGACTGATTTTTATTTTAAATGCTACCTTTATGTTATTGCTCAAAAGGACCCAAAAGTAACTTCTTGCTGGCTATAAATCTTTTGCCCTATGGCTTTTCATGCAGCATTCTTGTAACAAAACTTTTCATGTTGGTAAAGATTATATTTTCAGATGTCTGCTCATTGTCTAGTTACTATGAGATTAAAATGTTACTGACAATTTTGTGTCCCTCCGTGCACCGAAATGAGAAAAATTTCGCAGTAATTAATTTAATTCTTGCTTCTTTTAGTACTTCCTGAAGATACATGGGTGGCATCACATTTAATTTAAGTATTGTTTTTCTTCTGAAACATGGATTCTAGAAGCATGCAAGATGAGGACATTAAAACGAGCAGTCTTACCTCCTAGGAGGAGGATTAAGCTGCTAAGCTTTCAGACCTTGTAACCACATTAAATGAGACATCAAATCCTGTCTAAGGACAGGATTGTGCATACTGACAGGAAATACAGAAATACTAAATGACATTAATTTTTCATTGTCACATAGCATGTAGGTGGCAAAATTGAATTATGCTTATTATAAAAATCAGATTTACACGCATTTATGCACAACTATCTCTGTGATGACATATACTATTAGAGTGGAATAGAAGATGGTTTGAGGGTTTTTTCCTCGCATATTCCTAGAAGAGTGTTGCTACAGTTCTTCATCCCCACTTTTTAGGGCATAGTATCAGTGGAAGATTTCTGTACAGTCCAGTCTGTTTCATTGAGGCCATATAATTTTAGCTGGAGAATTTGATTATAGTCTTCTCAGCACCTTTGCAATTTCAAACGCCTTGCCAAAAAAAGGGGTGGCAAGTGAGTAGGTATGTTTATCATGCTAGAGGGGTCTGTCTTGCAATCAGCATCAAGGAGCCAAACCAAGCTAGACCTGTAATTTAAAGAATGAACTTAAGTTTTGGCATGTTTTTCCCCATATTTTTCTTGCTCCTCTGAAGGGTGAACTTCTTTTAAGTGACTGAACCAGTTAAACAGCACAGAGAGTGCCTCTATTTCAGGTATTAGTCCATCCCTAGCACAGTCTTGAAAATTTGAGACAAGTAATCAGGGTTTCCCCTTCCCACATGAATTGTTTCACACACACAAAACCCTACCTACCCACATCCATGCTTTAGAGAAATCACCATATTTCCCTAGTGTTACGTAGAGTAGCTCACTTCTAGGACATGGTATACAGCTCCCCTGTGGCTGATTTTATCATATCTTAGCAATTTATCCAGAGCCAGCTATTTCAGATTTTCACTGAAAGAAGCTGCATAAACCAGAATGCTGCCTAGGTTCATGGATTTGCACAAGTAGCTTCTGACTGTTTTATGGTGTGTGGGACTGACATTTGGACAGATCTGTAGGAAGCCTTTGAAACACCTCAAACAAATATGCAAAGATGCTGTCTACCACTTGTAAGGAAAAAAAAAAGCAGGATAGTTACAGCATAAATGATTAAAACAAGCCTCCAAAAAACTTGATCCCCTCCAGCCTGTGCACATCAGCATTTCTGTAGCAGGACAGTTAGCTCTGCATGGGGACATCCTGCATCCTTCATCATCAAATGAACTGATCAGGGACTCCAAAACATCTACTGAGGAAGGAGGCTTCATACCTATCCAAGAAACTTTTCTGCTGCTACTGTGGTAAACTCTGGAGGGAGACCTTACCCTTGAGAAGTAGGTTCATTCTGGGTAATGGCAATTTACACCTCTGTAAGACTGGTGCAAGTCTGTAGTTGATTTAATGGTAGAAATTCAGCAGGCAGTGTGATAACCTTTTTTAATAACTTGATAAGTCTCTTGTCTGCGAGCTCTGGTCCTGAGGAAAATGCTTAAAATTAACTGCTGCTTTCAGGAAATTCAGCACCCAGATTTACTCTAGTGCTACTGATTAACTGGTGCTTAAAGTTTTATTTTTGTACTGCTAGGTGTTCAGGCACTGGAAAGGGTACAGGATCTTTCACAGAGAAGAACTACACAGAATCATCCTCCTCTGGGAAGGATGTGGGAAGAGAGTTGCTTCTTGAAGTCTCTCTCCTCCATTTCCTCTTGTGAGGTGTTATATGTTTTATTTCCTTTTACATCTCCACATTTAAGAGGACTACAGGTTTTTTTTTGGTGGTGTGTTGTTTTTTCCTGTTTTTTTTTGGTTGGTTGGTTAGTTGGTTTGGTTGGTTTTGGGTTTGCTTTTGTTTTGTTTTGTTTTTACCCCTTCTCTTTTTGTGCTTGGGCCTAGATGGATTTCTTGGCCTTGTCAGATCCCAAAATGATCATAATCAGAATTAATTGCCCTCCCTACCTGCTCCCCCATCCACCCCTTCCCCCTGAAAACAGGCAGGCTAGAAAAGGACACAAAGTGTTTTCTTCCATTGCATAGTGTGGCTAGACTACATTTTTGATTTTGTCATTGCCTAATGTGCATTTTAGCTAGGATGCAAAAAAAAAAAAAAAAAACAGTGACAAAAGCAGCTTCGTGTTGTAACACATCATCTTGTAATCTTAGTGCTAATAGACATCAGACTGCCAGTCACCAGAAATTATTAGGAAGTGACTTTCACAGCAGAACCCTTTTCACCAAGCTGAGCTTGCAATCTGCTGGGTTAGGCAACCCACATCAAGACCATTGACAGTTCAATGATTACTAAACGGAAAAGAGTACACATGCCATAAGAAAAGGTAAACTAGTCATAGCTGGAGGAAATGAAGGAGTCAATCAGTTGCAAATACGCACCAGCAAAATATTTAACAAGTGACCAAATCCTGCCACGTGACTAAGCATTATCTCTGAAGTGTATGGAATGAAGTTTGAATAAACACTTAGATATTGCAGCCCACCCTTGTATCTCACTTCCCTAAGAAGTACTACAAGTGACAAAGGCCAAAATGAATAAAATAGGAATTAAACCATGAGTAGAGGGTTCTAAGTTAGAGTTGTAGGAGTCTGCACATGTGCATACATATATATATATACACA